TTTGTGCACATAGAGTTGGAGAATAAATCACCATTAAAATTGAAATAAAAGGAAACAAACGTCAGCACATGATGATTTTTCTACTTTTTAGTGAGAGTTCAGGATATGTTATTTCCAATTGACGTCTGCAGACTATCCGGTTCCAATATGCAGTCAACGCACACTATGTAGGCTATATACTGTCCTACATAACTTCTTCGTTTCTTTTATTAGTGTTCTTGGACAGCCTGAGACAAATGCACCGCTTCCAGCGCCTCCCACGAAGTCTCTCCCTCCGTCCTGCCAAGCTGCAGGCCCACGACTGCCGACAGCATCACTGCCCAAAGGATATGGTTCCCAAGCAAATGTCGAAGATAGCTTTCTAGCAAATGTCCTGCATTATCACTCAGTGATTGTAGTTCAGTAAGTAAAGCAGAGAATACGAAAGATAAGCCTAAACGTACTTTTTGGTTTGTTCCTGCAGGGGGTTGTTGCCAGCCTCATTACTTGCCACCTTACCGTAAATCACTCCGCTTCGTCGGCACCAGTACTGAGCCGACGAGTTCCCTCATCGATTCCCCACACTCACACTGGCCAGCAGTCACCTCTCACTACATCGCTCCCTCAGGGGCACTCTCCCTCGGGAAGTGGGTATGTTAAAAAACTGTTTCTAGCCATCAACTTCCAATCATCAATATTCAGTAATAATGATTCAGGAATAAAAAAACAAAGACGACAGATGAAGGCAGCCTCTGCTGCCTTACCGACTGGGTCGGTCACATCGATTGCGCCGGTCTCACCTGGCCAGCAAAGTCCCTTGCCATCGTCTCCTTACAATGTAACAGGTCAACAATCAGCGGTGAGGTCATCCCAGCTGAATGTGCCTTCTGAAATGGGTAAGCGAGCCCACAGGAGGGGTACTCATTGCCCAGGACCAAAGCGACGGGTGGGCTAAAGGAATATGTAGGACCAGTGATCAATATAGTTTTGCATCTTGTTTGATGAGATCAATAGATGGAGTTTTGGAGTAAAATGTATTAAAAGTGAAAGTATTTAGTACCAATTGTGTAATTATCAGGCTTTATACTGGCCTTATGGCGTAAGCATACGTAGGCACAGCTCGTGAACGAGACACAGCTTCTCAACGTAACAGAGGAGAGTTGTTTATCTCCTTTTGAGGCCTGGAACAGGCTAGAGGTCATCCAGTCAATGAAATCACCGCTATAAATAGACTCTCTAGGGAAAGCCCTCTCCAACAGTACCAAACTTTACACACACTACAGTCGAACTGCTCGAAAACGCGCTCGGAATATGGACAAAATTTCGTCATGTAAAAGGTAAACACTATAAATTTGAGAAAAGACTGAAACAAAGTCACTCCAGAAATCCTCCTTTTTATCGCCTTTGCTTGATTTTCTTGCGCAAATGGCATAGCTAGAGGAAATCTTTGACACCTAACCTGTCTAAAAACCTAAAAAACTGAAAAGTGATTTTTGCATGATTTTTCACATACATCCAACTTCAGGCGCTGATTACTCAAAACAAGGTTTTAGAGAACGCTTCTCCTTATGACATGACAGGTCACAAATAACCAGTTGGTGACCCATTATAAAATTACCAGTATGACGTTATTTTGGCACAATTTCTTGAATTCTCTTCAGACGTGCCTAATATTAAGAGAATGATTTTCTTGGAAAAACTGAGCGTAATTGAAAATAGAACTTTCAATCAAGGGATTCAACTTATACGGAATTTTTCTCTTTGAGATTGTTCAATTGTGCTTGTCAAATAAGCCATATTAGGGGGCTCTCAGCTCAATTTTGTACCCAAATTTGGAGCACCACCTAATTAAATATCATGATACCAGAAATTTTTCACATGATTTTCATTGCAAGTTTTAGCTAGTTTACCATTATTTAACTGATCAAGTTTGAAGATTATCAAAATAGTCTGGCAAATTTCATAAAATATGAAATGAATGTTCCAGTGTGTTTGCTGGAGCCCTCACGCCACATAAACCCTGTTGATGAACTCAGCACAGCCAGGAGTGCATACGAGCTGGTGGAATCCTTCAGCTTGTGTGCCTTCATCCTTGTGACAGACCTGCTTTGTGAGACAACGGACCTCCAGACACTGTCCTGCAATCATGCCCTGGCGGATACAGGCCGATGGTCTCGGGGTAGAATCAACGGCCACAACTTCCAGGAAAAGTAACACCGACAGAAGAAATTGAGTGAAATTGTAACGAAACCCCTAACTATTAGTATGAATGGATTATCGACTAACGCCAGTGGTTATCATTGTCTGTTATGTGATATCTGTGTCATTTTTTCAGCTGTCGTTTTGCTTTTTCTATTTATGAGCTGAACTGCAAACTGATTTATGATTTGGCTTGTGAGAGATTTGCTATGGGCTGGTTCTCTACTCTCAATAACCAGGTATTGATGTGCTTTGTAAATATGATCGGCCATTCCTAACAAATGTACTGACATTTTAGTTGAATGGCCAACATGATTTGGGAAGAAAAACTCACCTGATTATATTTGGTGCTCATATTTTTCGCTCAGGTTTTATCGGTAGCTATCAAAAGGGCAGAGCAGAATTTCACCAGGGTGTCCAGCCTGGGCACTTGCCACATCTAAGGCGACAATGCCCAGGTGACCCCCCCCCCTTGGAGCCAGGTATTGATAGTCATCTTCAATGGACCCACAGAGCACTGGAGAACCAACGACTGTCAAGTCCTGGTAGGTCTCTTGACTGTGGGTTTGATGATGATGCTTTGGTGTGAGACAATCCTGCTGATTCAGTAACGTGTGAGGGGACTGGTCTTTTGATTGGTAAGATGAAATATTTCTGCATTCACATGATGAGAGAGGTGCTGTGAATGGCTGTCACACTTTAGAGGCATCAGTCAGAGCCTGCCATTGGTCAATTCTCTCTCCTGTCTTTTGTTCACAGATTGATCAGGGTATCTATGTGGAGTGTTCATGCACTCACTTGTCTGACTATGCAGCCCAAGGCGAGACAGATAACATTGTTGGCTACAACGTCTACATCTATGCATTTTGTTTCATCTGCATTGTAAGTAAAAATGCTTGGAGTTTATCAAACAGGAAAGCTAATTCCTCTTGACCAAAATAATGAGTTGGTTCCTCTCTGTCCATGGTTTGGCAAGAACAATTCCCTAGTCTTTCCATGAATCCATGAACTTGGCCTGGTAAGAGCAACTGCATCTAGTATCAAACCAGATGGAGTATCAGTGATTCCAAGATGGTTCTCTCCAATGGATCCCCACAGGAATGTAGCAGAGCCTAAATCTTAAGCTTTGTTCTTCCATATCCTTCACAGAAATCAGTAAGAAGTTTGGAAGATTTTGTAGGATGTAGGAAGATAGAGCCAAACGAGTGTTACCGTGCATAATGCATAACTGTCCCTTGAAAGTGGAGGATTCCCTGCACAGTGGAGGATTCCCTGCACAGTGGAGGATTCCCTGCACAGTGGAGGATTCCCTGCACAGTGGCGGACTCCCTGCACAGTGGAGGATTCCCTGCACAGCGGCGGATTCCCTGCACAGTGGAGGATTCCCTGCACCGTGGAGGATTCCCTGCACAGTGGAGGTTTCCCTGCACAGTGGAGGATTCCCTCTACAATGGAGGATTCCCTGCGCAGTGGAAGATTCCCTGCACAGTGGAGGATTCTTTGAAGAATTGAAAGAATTCAGAGAGCTAGAGCTATTAGATATTTATTGGCATATTGATCTTTCCAACTGTTCTCTCCTCCGATTGAGTAAGATTCCTAGCAAGAGTTCTGAGGGAGCTAGGTTTGATATTAATTGGAAAATAACCTGCCCACCTGTTCTCTCCTCAGATCATCTTTGTCATCTCAGCGTATGTGAGTAGCTCTGTCTCTTCACCCTCCTGTGCTGCCCTAAGGGTGCTGATCCACTTTTTCTTCCTGGCGCAGTTCACTTGGAAGGCCTTACAGGTGAGGACGGACCCCCTGACTCCATTCTGTTCACGTCTCGCGGGTATTTTCTTTCAAATGGCTTTATACCCAGAACACCTTTTAACAGACAGCCCTACAGGTGCAAAAGAAGTGGTAGATATGGCCCTGTTGATTTTAACCCTACTGTCACACAGTACTGCCCAAAACTCCATTCCACAGAAGGTTGAATCTGTTGGAGGAGTGGTGTCCGAGAAGGCCACACACCCTTTCCTTCTTGCGTGACCAGTGATTTACATATGCTTATTTCCCGAAACATGTCTGCCCTGACATGAAGTCCAGATAACATATCAAATCTGAATAACACTCTTGAAGTCATTTGGTCTGAGCCACACCGTTTTCAATTCCTGGCTTTGTCTTTGATGGTCCGCTCACTTACCTGCCAAAGTTGCCAGACAAGTTTAGGTGGCCCAGTAGTTGAACATTGATCACAACAGGACAAGTTAGAAACACGTCAGCAGTTAATTGCCCACATAACATGGACAGCGTCTGGATTTTTGTCCGTCAGCTGGCGGGTTCTGATGATTGTGTCTGGCTGTTTACAAATTTCTATGTAGATTTGATCCTAAAAGCTAACAGTGGCAAATTACTGGACTGTCATCATTGCTAGTGAAGCACAGCATGCGTTGTCCCAAATATTGTTATTTTGCTGTGCTGTCTGATAACTTTTGTCATGTTTTGTTGTCTTCAGGCGTTCAATTTGTGGAAGGTTTTTGTGATTAACGATGAGCACACTGACAGATACTGAAGAGTACAACGACAAATGGAAGCAGTTTCTGGTTTGGGTTTTGTTTTATTTTGCCAACTTTTTCAGAGCATTTTTTAAATGATGATGGCAAAACCTGCACTACCGAATAAACTATGAATGCACGATACACCCATTGACACACATTTCAAAAGTACCCAGTATTTTTATATTCTTCGGTTTCAAGTAATTAAAAAACATTTATTGCATGTCAGGTAAAATATACCTGTATGCTTTTATTTTAACGTTTTCCTGACAATTTTCCCCCATAAAATCCGCAATTCAATTAAGTGAAGATACTGACTTCAAATAACTTTTAATGTGTCACTTTTTCATTTGGCAAAATACTTTTTATAACTTTGTGTTAAGAGAAACTGAGGTTTTGCGCAGGCATTGCTTACATGTTGAGAAAGTGTAATTATAGAAAGTTTCACCTCACATTCGAAATGTAATTAGATTTTCAAACATTCACAATTTTTGTAAACAGTAAATGTAATATGATGAAGCAAAATATTTCCCTTTCTGTATATCAAAACCAGAAATGATACAGTATTGTCCAAAGAAGACTAAAATTAACTTTTATTTTCTCTTAACAAAAGGTAACAAAAATTCAATCATTAGTTTAAAACTTTTCGTTGCAACATCTTGAAATCATTTGTTTGTTTATCAAAATGTCATTTTTTGTTCTTTTAAGACACCTAGCACCAACAGTAAGAACTGCCAGTCTCAGTCTTGGCGATCATCCGTTCACCAAAATATTTCTACTTTGAAACTCAATGCACTATTTCATGGAGTATTTGGGGCGAGGCAAGGGCAAACCGCCCCCAGGCATTTTCAATTCTTTGTTTTCCTTCCCAACCAATGTAGCCTTATCTCCGAACCCCATCCCTCTAAATCCTCAAAGAGTACTGCATACCGGAAAAAGTTCGACTGGAATGGCAAGTTAATTGACCTATGCAACCCCAGCCACCATAAGCCGGAGTACGGCCGTTGATGGCCGCATCCGGGGGTTCCGCCTCAGACACCAGTAGGCGAGCTGTATCAGGCCTGGCACACCGCCCCAGAGACAGATGAAATACAGCATCAGACCCATCTGGAAAACATCACTCAGCTGCGTCTGTAGTGCTGCATCCTCCACCAGCTCTGGGGCGATGTGCACGTAATAGCGCCGCAATCGCGCCTTCTGTGCTGAGGTGAGGTAGTGTACCCGAGGATGGCTCGCCAGGGTACACAACCCCACGTCAACAATACACGCACGCCACTAGCCCCCAACATCACGGACCATAATGTTATCAGTTTTAAGGTAGTTATGAAGGAGACCCCTGTCGTGCATATATCGTAGACTGTCCAGCACATCCAGCGCGATGCAGCACCAGGAAGACGGTGCAAAATGTATACGGTTGGGCCCTTCCAGGGCATCCGCCAGGGTCAGCGATTGGCCAGTAATGGAGTTCCCAACGAACTCCATTACAAGTCCTTGGTGTTGGCCAGCCACTGCCACACCAGAAAAGAAAGGGAATGACGGATGCCCTGAAAGAAGGCCCATTGCCCTCGCCTCCCTCAGGACGGGAAGTCGGTCTAGATCTGTTGTTGTTGGCAAGCTTAGAGGTACGGCAGGTGGCAGTGCTGGATTAATGCCGGCGGCAGCGTTACTGGGGACTGTATTTTAATAAGGCAGCCTAGGTGTCTGATGTTTAGTTGAAGGAGCAAACAAGAACGTCAAATTCCCTTAGTCATCATCGGCCAAGATCAGCAAATTTTTGTTCAGGTCCACCATCCCTATGTCAACAGGCCTAGACATGACTGCCTCCTTAAGAGATTATTTCGAAGCATTGTGTACCGACAGATTGATTGTTTAGAGAGATATGAATCTTTTTCAAATTATTAATTTCCTTTTTTAATATATTAACTGACTAAGGCAAAGATTTTGAACTTACCCATTTGTTTGCAAAGAAGGCACATTCAGCTGGGATGACCTCACCGCTGATTGTCGACCTGTTACATTGTAAGGAGACGGTGGCAAGGGGCTTTACTGGCCAGGTGAGACCGGCGCAATCGATGTGACGGACCCAGCCGGTAAAGCAGCAGAGGCGTTGGGAGAGTTGGTCAGCAGTGCACTGTTATAGGGGTCATTGGAATCAAACAATGAAGTCTCTCTGTGACTGTCTGCGTGTGAATTAGCGAATAACCATTACTGAAATTGATAATTGGCAGGACGTCCAATTCCTTAATCATCATCCAGGATCACCTTCCATTTTTCAGGTCAACATTGTACATATGCTGAATGTGCTGGCTTCTTTGCAAGTTACCATTACGAAGCACTGTGTACCGAGAGACTGTTCTTCCTAAACAAAATTTTACGTTTTGCGGGATACACGGAAATGATTTTAAACGTTTTTCGTTTCTAAAGATGGCGCATTCGAGTGGGATGTCCTCACCGCTGATTGCCGGCCTGTAGCACTGTAAGGAGACAATGGTTGGGGAGTACGATGGCCAGTTGAGACTGGTGCAATCGCTGAGATCGATCCAGCCGATAAGCCAGTAGAGGCGTTTGGGGAGTGGGCTAGCAATGTGCTGTACGGATCCGACATAAACTAAAATTATATATCTATGGAAGTCTTTGTGCAAATTACTGAATTACATCGCCAGAAACACGTTTAATACATACCCATTTCCTGTGGAAGAGTGGCCATGGGGAAATGGTGACGTGGGAGGTGACTGCTGGCTAATGGAACCGTGGGGCATCGGTGGGTGAGCTTGGTAGCCCGGTAATGGTGCCGATGAGGTAGAGCAAGTTGATGTGGGGGCAGTTGAAGATCTTGTTAACATACCCTGAAAGAACAAAACCACATGTTTATCTGTCGTCTTTGTTTGGATTCCTGAATCATTATTACTGAATATTGATGATTGGAAGTTGATGGCTAGAAACAGTTTTTTAACATACCCACTTCCAGAGGGAGAGTGCCCCTGAGGCAGCGATGTAGTGAGAGGTGACTACTGGCCAGTGTGAGAGTGGGGAATCGATGAGGGAACTCGTCGGCTCAGTACTGGTGCCGACGAAGCGGAGTGATTTGGAAGGAGGCAAGTAATGAGGTTGGCAACAACCCCCCGCAGGAACAACACAAAAAGTACGTTTATCTGTCGTATTCTGTGCTTTATTTACCGAACTACAATCACTGAGTGATAATGCAGGATTTTGCTAGAAACCTATCTTCGACAATACCCATTTGCTTGGGAACCACATCCTTTGGGCAGTGATGCTGTCGGCAGTCGTGGGCCTGCAGCTTGGCAGGACGGAGGGAGAGACTTCGTGGTTGGCGCTGGAAGCGGTGCATTTGTCTTATGTTGTCCAAGAACTCTAATAAAAGAAACAAAGAATTTATCTAGGATTGTATGTAGCCCACATTTTTGTGCGTTGACTGCAAATCGGTATTGGAAAGTATGCAGACATCAATTGTAAATAACATATCCTGAACTCTTACTAAAAAGTAGAAAAATCATCATGTGCTGACGTTTGTTTCCTTTTATTTCAGTTTTAATGGTGATATATCTGATAAATGTTTCGATGCTCTCTTACCCATTTCCTTGTAATTGGCGAATCCTTCGGCACCTCCAGTGCTGGAAAAGATGAAAAGTAGAGCTACCATGAAACTGAAGATAAAACCTTCAAGTTCTGTTTGAACATACAATTGTACGCTTTAGATAGAGTTCATATTACAATCCCTTTGAAATGATTACTTTATATAACCATGTAGCACTTTTATAACTAATTGGACGTGGCTATCAGTAAAGCTAAATTGAGTAAACCGATATCATACAAAACTGACTGTAGTCACTTACTGGACACTTCCTTGAGGGTAGTCCACAATCCACACATCTCTCACCGTGTGAGTAATGATCACTCAGTAGCCCAGTCTGAGAAAAATCCAAGCAGTTTCAACGGATTATGACAGTTTAGAACAACCAAAGTGTTTTTATTTTTTAATATAATCTGAAGTTCGTGAACTAAGCTGTAAATAAACGACCGTATTTTGTGTGATACTTCGAGCGGCATTTCCTTTTGTATTAGTTATGGCATCTTTGCAAAAAGATGTTATATTTTGAAAACATTGGCAACTGCTCCTGGTATGATTACTGACTCGACAGTTGTCATACCAATCCCCACTTTGATGATGTTATTTCGTAAAGGAATAGAAGTAATTTCAGACCTTGCAAATTTGAAATGGATGTAGAATATTGAAGAGAGCCTACTTACAGGTAAACCGCAATCCACACACGTCTCCTTTGGTCCGTGGTGTTGTAATATCAAACTGATATCCATGACTCCCTGTAAAGGGGTTGCCGAAAAGCAACAAAAATGATGGACATGTCCCTAATAGGGAGCAAGTAAGCTACATTGGGATACTGTAAGCTAGCAATCCTAGGACGTGAGGTGCCGCTCTTTTATGATAAATATCTGCACAACTCCGAAATCGGGGCATTTTGTGTTATCAGAATATTCTGTCCAAGATTTGGGACATATCTGCTGGGATGTCTCTTTCCTTTTTCACGACAATGAACAACTCTGGAAAATTAATGTAACTTATTGGAAACACGGGCACAACTTTAAACTCAGGCAACATGCAAAATAATGGCTTTGAAAACGTTTAATCGTACGAATAATTACATCAATGAAATTGGAATTTTCCATTCCACAAAACAAAAATTCTGTAAGAACTTCAGTTGGAAAAACGCACATTTTTTCTTCCTTATACCTATGGATTAAAATTTCAGTCTATCCTAAAATATTTTGTCCATAAGTTTTAAATATTTATTTGACTGTAAATGAATACTTTCTAGTGTTAAAGAATATGGTCGCTTGGTTGATTAAAGAAATATGGAATAAAAACTTACTGGACTCATTCCAAGGAGATCTCTTGCGATACTTTCTGGGTTTTTTGTCCTTCGTAAAAAATAAATCGCAAAACTAGCGAAAAGTGACTAGCTCATCAGAATTCTCGAAAGAAAGCTGCAATATGATGCTCCAATGTGACGTCACAAAATATGGCGTAAATGTCCTGTCATTAACGATGTTGGGTCTTCGGGGTGCATTCCACCAAATGGTTGTATTTCTGCGCGCGATCTCATTAATATTTTGTGATCCTACGGGATTTTTACAACAAGACAGACCATAACCAGGAGGGGTCATAGAAATATTTCTATAAATCCCGAATTTGGGACTGATAATTTCCAGTTCGGGGTATTTCTTTCACAAAAAGCCTCAAATTGAAGGCTGATTTTGAGGGCGGGCAGCTACATTCAGAAATGAGCGCTTAGTGGCTATCCCCCATGAAATTGAATATAAAGTGGTCTTCAGGCCATAATCTTGAATTTCCAGTGATAAAACAGAGGCCAACCTCTTCACGAAAGTCAACAGGCGTCGCTACTCGGTCAGATTTTGCACTGTTCTCTATGGGTGCGTATTTGGTGTAGTGCAACCTTCGTGCGCAAAAAGGCCAAGGGGCCATGAACAAGTTTTAAAGATCCTTAAATTCCTGGGTATTGACTTATTGAAAAAAAATATATAAATTTTGCTATAATAGGTGGTTTTTTCCCATATTATCCATATTAAAAAAAGGTTTTAGGAACAGTTATATTGGCGCTGTTGCAGATGCAATCTGGTTCAAAATGTGATTCTTAAAATAGTAATTACTTCAGTCTGTTTTGCCTTCCTTGTTAGTTGTCTTCTTCATGCGCCACTCGAGCAAATTAACAGACAAGTTTGTCGTGGTTGCTCAGCCTCGTTTCCGTGGTGTCTAGCAGTGTGCCAGAAGTAGCAGTTCCTCAGGATGAGGCAGCATCTAATTGTTCTGTTAATTTTTTGGGGGGGCGCCCTTTCTGGGAATACGGTCTTGCACCCTCAGTTGTTGGCTAATCTGCCTTTATAAAAGACATCCTCTCCAGCATTGAACAGAGCCGAGTTGATGGAATTGAAGTAGGCCTATTCAATCGAGCGTCATCTTTTTCGTAGGGACGCGAACTTTTCCCAAATCGTTCAGGAACCAGAAGCACTTTCCTCCATGGCACCTGTACGTTGATGTTTCTTATTCCTCTTTTTGGCAACAGCACTTTTATTGTTTCAAGAAATGTCGTTGCATTCCAAATAGAGAAAACTACACTTTGGAAAGAATTGTACAGAACAAAGCTAGCCAGTTCCATTTTTTAAAAACCTCTCTGAAGTAAGGCCAGAACAATTATCTAATCGAGTGGTGTATGTGATTTACTGTGAGCCCCCCTGCAAGGCACCAGCCCAACTAGCTCCAGGTACCCTGTCTCTGAGGTGATCTGATCTGACTAGGGTTGCAATGATCCCTACGCGTGCTGATCGAGACATCAGCAGCCGAGAAGAAAGATCGTATAGCGCCGATCGAGTGAAGCCACATTCGAACATCCAGAGACTTGCTGGTAGGAGCAGGTAGGCCCAAGATGTTAACCCACCAAAAAGGGCGGACGACTGTACATGTATCTCTTCCCCATGTATCCGCCCCACATCATGCAGGCCTCCTGGTATTGCTACATGTACACCATGGAGGATCCCTCCATGTGTATACTCTCTTCCCGATTTCGCTGCCCTTAAGTTCAGATAATTGTTTTTCATGCTAGGCCTACATATGACATTTTCTGACACTGGTCAGTTTTGTAAAATTTGGACTAGGCCTAGTTTGGAAAGATTCAACCCTGTTTGTTTACTGGACTGTGGCAGCTACCAGACCTTAAGATCTCTCAAAGAAGTCTAGATGTTTTAGTCTGGAAACCAGATTAAAGTTGGACATGCGATTTTAATCATTCATAAATTTTTCATTGAAGAGTGCCAATAAATTGTCTAATCCTAAGTGCTTTTCGTCATAGGAAGGAGTGCTGATTTCTATTTACATGATTAACCTGAAATGTAAATGCCCCAATTTTTTTCAGGTGGTACCCATGGGGAGGCCGGGTCAGAGTGTGGACCATTGGCAGAGGGGAGCCCTGGCAGCTAGGATAGTGTGACACCGGGCTATACCCAGAACAGACCCTGTGCCACAGCCGGTCTGGACTACCGAGAGGTGGACATGGAGATCACATTCTGGGTGAGTCTCGCGATTGTCACACCACACTGTGACACTTTAGGGTTTTTTGGCTATCTAAGGTTTTGATAGAGCTTACTTGGAAGCCCAGATGGTTTTGCGAAATTTGTGAGATGGTTTCTGAATCAATCATCCACAACACCATGTCACAAGGTTAAAATTACTAGGTATCATCATTTTGAAAATGACTTTTGTCTTATTTCTTCAGAAGCAAGTACATGTAGCAAGTCTGAAGTTTTTCTCACTGGCAGACTTCATAGGAGGGGTACGCATCACCCAGGGCCAAAGCGACAGGTGGACTGAAGGTAGGATCAGCCATCAATGTGATTTTGCACCTCGTTTGATAAGATTAAAAGATGGAGTTTTGGAGTAAAATGTAAAGTGAAAGAATTTAGTACCAATTGTGTAATGGAGCCCTATATCTGGTATTATGACGTCATTTAGTGTTATGTTTCTGTCAACGTTGTAGTTGAGTCCGTGCATGGGCTTTGCCAGGATTTTCTTCGCAATGAGAGCAAAATTTCTTTCTGGTGTTGCTACAAAAGCACTCACCCCCAACAAAGTGATGAACTACATGGTAGATGGGGTACATTTCAAAGTTTTTAAAGGGAATTTGTGATTTTAATCTTGTAACTTCCCTTTAAGTTTTTTTCATGTTTTCTTTTTCCTCCATTTTTAGGTTTTTAATAAGTATTTTTTTGGGGGGGGGAAGTGCCACCCCTTCTCCCCAGATGCCTATGAATCCACCAGAAGTCCTCGAAAAGCCATCCAGTCACATGCTATTCAACTACATGCAAGCTGTCACACACAGGCATCCCCTTTGCAATGGTTCACCTCACGCTTGTGCTAGGTCTTGTGAAAGGGCTCTTGATGGAGTCGACTTCAACACCAGTTTCTTCTACATCTTTTTCAACTTTAATATTTCATTTGCCGCTTCCCCGTGTTCAGGGTTCACTCACTTCACTATCGTCGTGAGCGACAACTTCAACGGAGTGATCAGCTTTGAGCGAGAATCGAAGATGCCCAGCCCTCTGTTACGCTCACACTCAAAAGAGGGCAGGCTTTCTTTGGTGAAGTCATACTGAGTCTCCCCAGCCATCATTTGCATTAAATAAATTACTCTTTAAGTTTTGCTGAAAAGCATGACTCAGTTTGAACGTCTGGAAAAGATAAAGTTTCGTGAGCAGGAAGATTATGTCAATTTCAGGTGAAGTGGCGAGCGACGCACAGTCCAATTCGGGGACATCACCAATGATGCTGATCTCTATACACAACTCGGGGAAGTGGAGGGCATGGTGACATGCCCAGCCGACCAGTGACTGTGCACGTTTGTTGTCGGTGGCTACCGGTGGGGCCGTTGTCCACACCCATCGCGGCAGCCAGCATCACCCTCGTGGAAGACGATCGGATTGTCTGATATCTGGGACAACCACTACAGCCCTCTCGTTGGTCTGAGTGACAACAACATCTACAACATCCTCCTGGGCATGGTGGAACATGGCAGGGCTAGCTAGGGGCCAGGTGACCGAGGAGCAGCTGGCCGTTGTCATGGATACCATTCGGATGGTCGGTGCTTGGGGGG